CTCGGGAGCGGCCGCCGCCTCCTCTGTACAGCAAATACATTTACAACTCTGGGGCTCCCCGCGCGGCCCCGGGGCACCGTCCGGCCCGCTGAGAAGCCTCTTATATTTATATGCTAAAATTACAAATACTTCTTCAGTGGTGGCAATATTTACACATATACTCTATTTTACAGCTGTTCAAAAAAAGTGTGCAATTTGAGTCAAACACATTGTGTTTCCTGAAGTCATTGCTTTAAGTTTAATAATACAATCAGCTCCTATTGCACTCATGATTAGAGGGCATGGCCCCTTTCTGTTTTAAGGAGGGTTTTCTTTCTCAGACTTAATCTTGGTTGTGGTAAAAACAACCCAGTGTACAGTTACTGAGTGACATCCGTGTGCATTATTTACAAGCAAGTGAGACCGAGTCTAGAGCAAGAGTTCAAGAGATGTGCTGTAAAATATTGAACAAACGACTGAGGCAGCTGGAGAGAGGAGAGGTGTCACCTGTGAGAAGCACCTGAGGGAAGCAGGCAGTGCTGGAAGAGCTGCTTCGTGGGTCAGTAGCTGGGGCTGCTGCGTGCTGTGAGCTGGCTGAGCACGTGGCTAATGCAAAACTGGTCCTGGCTGACAGAAGGGGAAAACCAACAGCTACTCCTGCTGGGGGTTGTTCCCTTGCACTTCAGACACGGACTGGGTTATTTGGGTGAGGTTGAACAGCCAAGGGATAAGCCAGAGTTCTGTGGTAGGCACAGGGAAGCCTGCAGGAGCCCAGCACTGTCACAGGGCTGCAGCTTTCCTGGCTAGGACTGAAACCAGTTCCCTTAGGAGCATTGGCAGCACCATGCTGGATCCATGCCCAGAACAGGAGAGGGCTGGTGGATGTGTGGGTGCCCAAGCCTCCTGTGGGCTGTGCCCACTGTCCTGCAGCAGCAGGGGCCTGGCACTGCAGCAGTGCCAGCCAGTCACAGCTCAGCGTGGCCTCGTCCCTTCAGTGCCCGTGTGCTGCCTGGGCACACGATGAAGCCACGTGTGCAGCACAGGGGTGGCACGGGGCAGGGAGAGCTCCTGTCCTGGTCTGGGTTAGAACAGAACCTGTTCTGCTCAGTGACTTGACTTTTCAGCCCGGTCTCTTCTCACGGCACTTTCTGAAGTTACTGGCAGATTTTTTTGCAGCCAGTGTCTGCTCCCTGCAGTGGTAACTCCGTGCTGGGAGCTGCTGCTGCAGTGGGGAGGGGGCAGTGCTGGGAGGCTCTTGCTTAGCCTTGCTGCTGGGAAGACAAAGAAGAACACTGCTCAATCTTGTGTGCAGAAAGCAAGGCCTGTGGGAAGGAGCAGACAGGACAGGTGACCCTAAACTGACCAGTGATGGATTCCATCCCATCTACACCACAGTCACTATGAAGCTGAGTGATCACCAGGGTCAAGCCTCTTCTTCAGTGGCTGGTGTCCAAGGAAGACTCTGGATGTTCTGCCTTGGATCCATTGTTCTCGAATCCTGTTCCAGAATCCAGCTTCTGAACCTGGTTCTGTTCTGCTGCTGAGTCCAGCTGGGACTTCCCCAGTGTCTGCTCCTCAGCGTCAGTGGTGACAGAGACGTCATTGCCTGGGGGGGCAGGGGGTGGGACCTACCCCAGGGATGGGGCAGTGGTTGGGCCAACGTTGGGGTTTGTATATATTTCCTTTTATTATTATTAATTAAAGCAGTTTTAGTTTTCCAGCCCTCAGGTCTGTCTCCCTTACTCCCTCCCCCTCGCCCCGGGAAGGGAGCAGGGTTAACAGCACCTCTCCCAGGCCCCGTTCCCCTGGTGGGTGCCGGGCAGGGGTGACGGTGTGACACGGCTGCAGAGCTGCCTGGCAGCCTCTGGGAAGTGAAGGGAGGGCAGTGACTGCCCTGGTGCCTGAGGGGGCAGGTCCATGCCCAGAGGCCTCCAGGACGTGACCTCCCAGGCTCAGCAGGCAGGTTCTGCAGGAGCCATCGGGCTGCTGGCTGCAGAGCGGCCGCGTGGCTCCCAGCGACCTCCCACACAAGGGCTGGAGGGGCCCCGAGGCAGCCTGCTCAGTTCTGAAAGGAGTCATTTTCTTCAGCACAAAAATAAGGGGCAGAGAGTCAGAATGGAGCATCCTGAGGCTGGCAGGCAGGCCAGCTCCTTGTGAGCACTGCTGAGCTGTGGTGTTCCTGCAGTTCTGTCCATTGGCCAGGAGAGCCTGCAAGACCCACAGCCAGCCTGCCAGACCCAACGCCAGGCAGCCAAAATCCCGGCCAGCCTGCCGGCCCCCCAGCCAGCCTGCCAGACCCACAGCCAGGCAAAGGAAGCTGATGCTGCTCAAGCAGTGGAGCTCAGTAGTGGGTTTTTTTGGGTGCTGGTGATCCTGCTGTACAGTTAACCTCTGAGCAAAGCAGGATGCTCAGGGTGCTTTATTGCAATTTTACAGGCTTGTTAAAAAAAAAATAATTTCCACTGTGGTTTCAAATCCCAGTACTGCCTCATAAACACGGGGCAGGGGGAGGCAGTTCAGAAATCTGAATTTAACTTCAGCATTTCAGTTTGATTTTTTGGGTGCTGGTGATCCTGCTGTACAGTTAACCTCTGAGCAAAGCAGGATGCTCAGGGTGCTTTATTGCAATTTTACAGGCTTGTTAAAAAAAAAATAATTTCCACTGTGGTTTCAAATCCCAGTACTGCCTCATAAACACGGGGCAGGGGGAGGCAGTTCAGAAATCTGAATTTAACTTCAGCATTTCAGTTTGAGTTCTGAATTTTTTCCCATCATACTTGATGATAAATTTAACACATTCTCTGCTCGCACTGACAGATTATGAAAGGGTAACAGACAGCAGTTGATATTTATCTTAATCTGACTTAGTTTTAAGATTATTAGAGCTGCCATTTAGTACTAATTTGAAACCATTATCTTTTTGTCTTGTTATGCAACTTGATATGAATAATAAAATACAAAAGAATAAAATGAAGGGTTAAAAATACAAATTTGGGAAACTATCTAAAAATGGCAAAAGGAGACACTGCCTAGTTGGCCATACTGGAGCCCAGCTTAGGGTCCAGTCCTGCTGTCTCCACCCTGTTTTTGGAAGGAACAAGGACGTTCTGCTTGGCTGTGAGGACAAGTGCTGTCTTCCCCCCCCCTGTGCTCAGCTGCTGAGGGCAGCAGTGCTGTTGCCTGCAGGGCACGCTGGATGGTTTCAGGTAGGGAAGCACCCCAGTCCAAGTCAGGAGGAAGTTTTGCTGCTGCATGATCTGCTGTTGGTTTGACTCAGTGGATGAATTCTTGATGCTGGTGAGGAGCAGGTCACGCAAAGCTTGTTGCAGAGACTGGCAGCAATAGGGAAGAAACTGCTTCTAAATGTTTTCTGCCCTTCTTCCTTCCTGATGTGTAAAACAAGCAGTGGGGAATAGTTTCCTCCTGCCTAGAGGCAGAGGGTGCTGGGGACACAGGTAGAGATGACCACAGCCCAAGCCAACAAGGGTGCTTAGGAAAGCTCAGACTGCCCCCAGGAACTGAGAGCTTCCAGCTGTGGAGCCACACAGGGCAGCTGGCAGGGGCTGCACCGACCCACAGGGATACTTCTGGGATCCTGTGATTAAGTTCTGTCTTGTCCAGGGAGTACCATTGTTCAGAGTGGCTATGCAGTCAAGGTTTCCAAATGCAGACAGACCTATTGTCCTATGGAGATTAAGATTGCAGGTACAGAGGTGAGAAGTGGGAGTCCCCTGAGCAAAGTCTCTGCAGCTGCCTCTTCAGCAATGAAGAAAAATAATTCACTGGTAAAGCTCCTGTACCTTGCAAATCGCATCAGAGAACTGGTTTCAGGCTAGCTGAAGCCTCTGGAGAGGTTACAGACAGGTGTGATGCCCATGAGCATGGAACTAGCCTGCTTCTTGCTCCACTGTGCAGCGTGTTGCCTGAGCAGAGAACACAACTCATCTCCGAGACGTTGTCCGGCAGGCCCGGGCAGTGCCCTGTAAGAGAGAACCCTGCAGCATCACTGCCTGGCCAGCACCCCCAGCTGCCTCTGGCACCAATCCTGCTCTAGGGAGAAGTATCACGACCGCCCTGAGGCTCCACAAAGCCCACCAGGCTCCTAGCCCACAGCAGAAAGACCCAGACAGGGGCCACCAGCTTTATGCCGCAGCATCCCCTGCAGCCGCTGCCACCCAGCACGTGGACCTTTCAGGTGGGATGCAGCACAGAGGAGATGGAGCTGAGCTAATGCCAGAGCACATCTCCATCTGCAGGGTGCTGGAGCTCCTGTCACAGCTCAGTGGATGCCTGGGTGAGGCAGCAGATGCAGGTGGTGACGTGTGTGCTGTGGGCACCTGACCCTACCCGAGTCTGCTCCGCTGTGACTCAGGCTGTACACCAAAGGAAGCACAGCCTCAGGCCCAGGAGCCTGCAGCTGCCTGGCTGCATGTCACTGTGGGAACACCCCTCTGACCACACAGAGCTCTGAGTGCTGGCCCTCAGCTCCCAGTAAGGACAGCATCAGCTCTCTACTCTCTAAATGCCAGGCTGCAAAGCTCAGCTGGGACCACGTCCCTCTGGGCTCTTAATTCTGTGCCATTTCACCAGGAGGTGTTAGGATGAAGGGCTCTCAGCTGCCTCTCTGCAGTCCTACTACTCTTATTCAAGACTCAGCAACTCCTGTTCATGTCCAGTAAGACACACTGACAACGGGTTTGAGGTCTTAAGGTACTTCCTGCTGTGGGTGATCCACAAAAGGCAAAATGCATTCTGCTTTAGGCAGTTGCACAGACAAAGATGTAACACCAGGAGAAAGAGTCTCTTGCACAGTCATGAGCACGGCTGTGCACCCAGGAATTAAAGTCTGCCTGGTCCCCATCTCTCTGGAGGGAGGCTGGAACACACTTTCTTCTTTTTTCATATTTCAGGCAATATAGTCACAGTGGGCTATTTTCTACTCCTCTGTGTGTCCAGAAAGATATTTTAGGAGGCAGAGGAGCAGGTATGCAGCAGCACACAAGCACCCTAAGTAGTACAGCAGTCCTCTGAAGCAGATAAGTCAGGAGCTCTGATTTTGTCTCTCCAAGTGTTTTTTTCCTATCTCTGATTGTCCAGTGTGTGCCAGAGGACAACTAGGTGCATTGCCTCAGTCCATTTTTAGCCATAAAGCTAGCTGAAACAAGTCTAGAACAGAATAAGGTATTTCTTTCTTACTGGTGTAGGAAAAGTGTAGAATAGTTCACAAAGGAAACACACTAGACACTGCACCTCTGGGCAGTGCTAATTTAAGACTGGATTTCTCCTAAAAGGTTTAGACTCACTTTGGACACGTTCTCTAGGTTATGTTACTGGGAGGTCAGCTCAGATACTGGCTTCTTGCCTTGTAACTCTCTTTTCTGGGTGGCCCTTGAACTCACATACCTGCTCCTCCACCTGGAGATCCAGTGGTACCTGGGTGTTGGATACAGGCTCCTGCAGCTCCATCTTGGTGGATGGCCTTTTCCCTGGTGTCTCACCCTGTGAGAGGAACTCAGAAGAACCAAACTGTTTTCTTCTGGAACTGGGCACAAAATCTTTGCTTTCATCCTGTGTGAAGGAAAATAAAGAGGGCTGGGACTCAGGGACCATGAAGAGCTCTGGAATAGCACTGGGTCCTGGGTTTGCAGCGTGAGCTGCTGGCCTGAGTCCCTTTGGCAAGGAGGGACTCGGGCCACCAGGTCAGCTCTGGCATGTCCTCACCTCTGTTCTATTTTATAGTGTTTTGCCTTTTTTAAAAAAAAAAAAATAAAAATCTGATCATTTTAGCCCAAGTGCAGTCTTCTGTTCAGCTGAGTGACAAACCTGTGCTCAGGCTGCGTGGCTCACTGGGCCCAGTGTGCCTGTACCCATGGGGATATCCAGCAGAAAATCCCACAATTCTGGGACTGAAGCAGCTTCTTAAGTATTCACTCTGAGTTTTAACTACCATGCTGGGGAGTGGTCAGCAACCTTAATCTCCCATTTTCTTTGCTATGAGGGTGTGATGATGGAGTGTCCAACACCGTTTTCCTGATACAGGCATCTAAAAGGCACTTTTAAACTCACTAATGTTTTCTTGAATGTCTGCAGAGACATTTATGGGCATATACTCTGGGACTCAGACACCTACGGCCTGCCTCAGGGCTGCTGGGGCACCCGTGTCTGCCACGGAGGCTGTGTCCTGCTCTGAGTTGTGGGTGGGGCTGAGGAGTCCCTGTCACCTCCAGCTCCCTGGGGAGATGGCAGGGCTCTTGCTGCTGCTGGCTGGGAACTTCCTTATCCCTGAGTTCCAGCACGCTGGCAGGCGCCGTGATGTCGACCCCAGAAATGAATCCTTGGTTTGTTGTTCCTGGGGAGCACTGGTGTGCTGTGGTGGGGTGCTAGGGCAGCAGGCTGTAGGAGCCAGCGAGGTGGTGGCACAGCCCAGCTGGTCCTGCCAACCTCCCTCCACAGACACCTCAAGTGCAGCCGTCCTGCAGAGCTGCCTGCCCACGGCCTGCCAGTGCCCTGGCACTCACTCCAGCCCTGCAAACCTCCAGCAGCCAAACACCACACCAGAGAAACACTGCCTGCCCTAGGGAAGCCCAGCAGAGGATGGTGTGAGGTGCTGTATGTCCCCGTGTCCCCCGGGTGCCCAGGGAGGCTGGTGCAGCACCAGGGCTCCCCAGGCTGCACACCCCCCACCCACCTGCTGCTGCTCCAGGGGCCTCCCAAAGACCTCCCTGGGCACTCCAAAGAGCTGCTGCCCTCCAGCACAGGTACTGCTGGGAGCTGCTGCCTCTCCAGCACAGGTACTGCTGGGAGCTGCTGCCACCTCCCGTAGCTTCCTCAGGGACATTTGCCTACACCAGTGGCACAAAAACAGAAGGCTCAAAGGGCACTTTGTGCCTTTGCATCTCCTTGCAAGAACTGCTTCCAGGTGCTCAGTTTGGGTCTCTCCTGAAGGGCTGGCTGAGGCAAGGACTGAGCCTCCAGCTTGCTTCAGCCTCAGCCTCCTGCCCTGCTGCAGCAAATGGTCAGACACCAGGAGTACTTAATGGAGGAGAGGAAGATGGATTTTGGCAAACCAGCACAGCCCCTGTGTTTCCCCAGTAGAATTCTTATGGCAATCTCAGACTTTGGATAAAGGAGCTGTAAGAGGCAACAGTGATGCCTTCACAGGAAAACTGAATGTGCAAAGTCAGCATAGATCAGTGCCAAGACTTCTGCCAGAGAAACAGCCACATCTTGAACTGACACACAAATCCCAGAGGAAGCAGACTGCCTGTGGTTTCAGCTGCATTATAAGCCTGAAGACACCTTTCAAAGGCAGATACCTGGGTGTTTCTTCCAAAGGCATATGCAATGCTTTGAGCTGTCCAAACACAATATTTGGTATATCTGCATCTGCAGTCTTAAAGGGTAACTTCATGCTCCTCACTTACAAGCTTAATTTATGATCAAAAATTCAGATTTGTGACTATGAGGTGCCAGGATGATTTAGTTTCAATGTACAGTGATGCCCAACTCAATGCTCAGCAGCTCTGGGTGAACTAAACACACCATCCTTCCCTGGCAGCCACTGCACACACGGGCAAGGCTGAGAGCCAGCTGAGCCACCAGGGATGCCCTGGGTGCCCACGCAGGGGTCAGGCTGCTCTGCCAGGGACACTTCAGCTGCTGCTGTAGGCACAGCACACGACTGCCAACTTTGATCTGACAGTGACCTTGAGACCACAGGCAGAACGTGCTGCAGAGCTGCACTCAGCCCTGGGGGCTGCTACAAAAGAAGGAGGAGTGCCCCCTCCTTAGGGCCCCACGGCCAGGCCAGCGGCCAGCACAGACCTCTCCAGCTGAGACCCAAGGCTCAGGGGGTTGTGAATCCAAACTCCTGGGGTAAAGGGAGCTTTAGGGATGGATCTCCCATTTCCAAAGCACATAAGCTGCTGTTATGCAAAAGGCCAATCTCAGTCACACCAGTTCTGCCTGGAGTCATGAAATAGAAGTACAGACTGCCTGTGACTCTGGCCAGGGAGCACTTTGTAGCATCAGGCAATAGAATCTGCAAAGCAAAGCAAGGGTGCAAACCCTTTGGGGCCAGAGAAGTGGAAGAAAAGTTTTGCAAGTGTAAAACTCCTTTCACACCATTGCTACCTCATCTTTGTCAATGCCAGAGTAATTCAGTTTTGAATCTGTCCTCTCTGCCACCAGCCCTGTCAGATTACCCAGGAGACTGGCAGTGGCACATCAGGAGCAGAGGCAAGAGCTGCAGCAGGAACCAGCATGTGGTTCAATGGACTGGAGGGACACTTGGTGCCAGTGAACTCACTTGGAAGCTGCTGGAGCCTGCGGCACCAGTGGCAAGTATAGTTCACTACATCACTGCCTGCGTGTGTCAGCTCCCAGGAACTTCCCTCACTGTGGTACCAGCCAGGGGAAGAGGAAAGAGCACAGCCACCCCTGTGGCTCTTGCTTCTTTTCAGGTACTGACACAGACCAAGGAAGGAGCAGCCCTGTGTAACCAGCCACCACTCACCTGTTCAGGAGATGCCTGGGAAGCATCTCCAGACTAGACTGTGGTTTCACATGGGGAAACTGTGCAGCTCTTCCTAAAAGAAGCTGTGTATCTACAGCTGCCATGAGAGCTACAGCTCTGCCTGAGGCACATTCCTCTGCTCATTTCCATCATTCTTTCATTACTACGCCAAGTTGACAGTGCCATGCAAAGCCACTCTGGAAAGCTCACCATGTCCTACACAAGCTGTGACCATGTCTTCTCCCGTACAGTTATTGATAAGGCACCATGAGATCCAAGCAGATGGATCCCATTTCAAGTCGTCAAAATGGGTTACTCCACATGAGATGCTCCACTGAAGACAGCAGGAGCTGGGACAGGGCAGTGCCTCAGAAAAAAAGCTGCAAGAATTTCAAATCAAGCACCCTACAACTAGCAGGCAACTTGGAAAACCTCATCAAGTGAAAGAGGAGTGTTTAACACAGGACACTTACAGGTAGCGTGGTCCGGGGCGAGGAAGCAGCCACTGTAAGGTCACCTGCAGAGCTCTTGGGTGTTTGTAGTTCAGATGCACTTAAGTTACTTTTGGTCCGTCGTGATCCCAGCTCAGGGGTACTCCAGGAATTAGCTGTGGCACTGGTCCTTGCTGAGGTCTGGTCCAGGGAGTTTGTTCTTGCACTGTTCCCTTCCATTTCTGACAGGTCCACTGAGGACCCACACATGTTTGTAGTACTGGAAGCTGCACTCTTCTCCACTTTGGTTTGAGAGTCCTCTAGGGAGTGTAAGCCTTGTCTTGTTCTCCAAGAACTTCTCACAGTGACGTGTTTTGATTCAGATGCAGCTGCCTCTGAAGAGCCATAGCTCTTCCAGCTGACTGTCTCCAAAGGCTCACTGTTCCTCTCCACCAGTTCAGAAGTCTTTATCATAATGCTGCTTCTGGAGACCACTGTTTCTGCTTTACTCCTTGGTGCTGCCTCTCCAGTTCTGTCAGTCTCTGATAATTTTAGAGCGCTTTTATTAATCGATATCTCTAAAGGTGTGGGAAGATTGTTTGTTATTGGTGAAGGCTCATTTGGAGCAACTCTGATGTTGCTGGTGGTAACATGCCTTTCCTTTGCTGCTGCATCTGCACTGGTCCTTGGGGCTGACGGCTCAGAAGGGAAGATTGTGATGCTGCTTGTCATTTTATTTGTTACCATTTTAAGAACAGACTTCTGTTTTTCTGACTCTGCCTCAGGAGCAGCCCCTCCCATGACTGCCTTCATATCCCTTTCAACAATTGCAGGTTTAATGACTGCTTTTGATCTCAGAGCCTCTCTCGGGCTGAACGACCTTCTGGATTTAAATCCTCCAGAGCTGGCATCTAGTGGTTTTACACACTTGGTGGAGTCTTCTTCATTTACAGTGCTTTTGTCATTTTCAAAAACTGATGCTCTAAGAACTCCCCTAGAATTAGAGAACTGCTTGGAACTGACTTTCTTTCTTGTCTCCAAATCTGACTGAGAGGTTGATTTTTTGCTTCTTCCAGATTCATCATCTGAATTAAGTTTTTCCTGGTTATTCTGGGTGATTTTGGACTCTGTTTTTAAACCAGAATTGACATGATCTGCTGTCGAAGACTGTTCCTTGTCTTCTTTATCAAGACCTGTGAGAATCTGCAGAATGTCCTCCTGACTCCTGGAGCGATGGTAACGCTTTGTTAGCGTTGAGGCTTTTGCACTTTCAAGGGATGTATCTACAATTTCTTTTTCCTGTGAAATTATTGCTCTTTTAGCCCTCCCCTCTGAGTGCTGTCTGTGTGATGCAGCAAGAGCGTTCGTGGTTTCTGCTTTAGAGCCAGTGGAGTCTGACACGGACAAGTGGGAGGAGAAGTGGGACCTGTATGCCAGGGCTGTGCCGTTGGAGGAGTGGCTGCCCCTCGTGAGCACATCCCCTGGGCAGTCACTGACTTCTGCCTGAGCCGTTCTCAGCTTCTCAGCCAAGGACGCCACCGATTCTCCTCTGCTTGACTTTTCCTCCCGTGTGTCAGCACCGGTTTGGCAGTTGCCACGGAGCACATGAGATGGCTTTTCAGCCTTGGATCTCAGGCCCGGGTCACCAACAGGTTTGGAAGATGCTTTCCAAGATTTCTGCTCCTGTGCAGCAGGAGGATATCGACTGAGGACAGACGGCTGCTCTTTTGATCTCTTCCCCTCATTCTGCACGACACAGCCTTCCCTCTGACCAGAGGAAAAAGTGGAAACTGAAGATTTCTCTTCCAGTCTTTTTGTATCTGCCACAGCAGTGTCTGAAAGGGCAGATGCACCAGATGCTTTTCCTGCTTTTCTGTTCATTAAGCTCGGGCTGGGCACCTGCCTAGCACTGTGGCTGTAGCTGTCGTTACTCACAGAGAGGTCTCTGTTCCTTGCTCGTTCCCGGCGCTGCTGAGGTGAGAGCTCCCTGGGCTTGTGCTTGGCAGCTGTCAGGTCAGCTGTGGCCCCTCTGTATTTAGGTCTGTCGTGTTTTCCCCTGCTAGAAAAGCTTGTGTCTTCATTTTCAGCCTCTCCGTTCTCCAGATCTTTCTGCTTTTTTATTTGCATTTTTATTTCTTCTAGCTGACCCGTTAAGAGTTTGTTTTTATTCTGTTCACTCAAGTAACTGTCCTGCAGGTCATTGTTTTTGGCTCTCATTTTTTTAAGTTCTTCTTCTAAAGATTCAAAACGCTTGATCTGAGTTTTAAGTTTCTCAATTTCTTGGGTGAGATCTTTCACTTTGTTGTCTTCCTGATTTTTATTCTTTTGGTTTTCTGATTTATTCCTGGTTTCATTTTCTACATGTTTCAGGTAATCCATACTTCCCTTCCTCCTGGTCTCCTTGGAGGGCAATGCAGAAGTCAAGTCATCTTCAATTCTCAAATCATTTCGGTCCAGGAGATTATTTGATGACCTTTCTAGCAAATTGGATGCATTTCTAGTCTGATCTGCCCTATTTAGTTTATTGTTTTGTTCTAGTTTCTGTGTCAGCTCCTGGATTATTTTTTCATTCTGCTTTTCTCTTTCATTAAAATGTTTCCTTTCTGTGATAAAGCTCAGTGCTAATGATTTCAGTTTTTCTAACTCGCCCGTTAAGCTCTGCTCAGTTTTATCCAGCCTGTCCTCAGATGCTTCCAGTTCTTTCACTTTCACCCTAAGTATTTCTAATTCTGTAGATATCTTTTTGGTCAAGTTCTTTTCTTCATTGAGGCTAAGACACAGCTGCGTGCAGTCGTTCTTGCTCCTGCCGAAGGCCTCCTCCAGCTTCTCCAGCTCTGCCATTCTCCTTTGAAGGTGTTCAATCTCTGACTTCAGCTCTCGGGTGAGGCTCTCTTCCTCTTCAAGTTTTTCTTTCATTAACCGGCAAAGCTCTTCAGCCTTCCTAATTTCTTCATCCTTCCCTTCAATCTTCAGCACTCTTTTCCGCAGGGCTTCCACGTCAGCCAGCATGCTGGAGTTGCTGCCTTCTGCCTGGATAACTTTGTCCTGCAGTTCAAGCAGCTCATCCTCTGCTTTCTGTAGATTTTTGGTTGCTTCCTCCAGTTCATCAAGGCGGCGACTGAGACTTTGCAATTTGAATCGTAGGTGCCGATTTGAGGTTTCCTTGTAACCTGTGAATTCTGCCATGTTTATGTGTTATTCCTTGTAGGTGAAAGCTTTGCTTGGGTGTGGCCTTCAACACCTTGTGTATTCCTGGTACCTTACTGTTTCTCTGAACAGGGGTAATCTCACCCTGAAAGAAAAAACGCATAAAATCAATATAAGAGTTCAGAATATAAATATTCCTACTGTATGCATTTAACCTATACATGTTTATACAAATAACTTTTTAATGAAACACATTTCTGAGTACTAAATTAGAAGAAATGACACTGTGGAGAAGAGCCACAGCCCATTTACTTTGTCTATAGAGAATTTCTAAAAATAGCCTGTTCCAAATAGCTGAGGGAAGGAAGTGCTCTCCTCTGCTGGTCTGCACAAGTGGCGTGTGTGCAACCTCACCCCAGTGCTCAGCAGTCAGCACAAGCTGCCCCTGTGCAAGCTCTTAGGCTGTGAAGGTTCATACAGATGCAGGACTTGAGTCCGTGTACACGGACGTGCCCAAGCAGCAGACACCTCTTCAGCACTGCACCCGTCTTCTGAAGATGCCTTAGAGATGAAGATTCAGGGAAAATAAATAAGACTTAAAAACTAGAAAATGCAGCCCCTAGACATTTGGGGGCCAGTGAGGAGAGGGCAAGACCCCCACACCCAGCTCACAGATGGAGGGTGTGAGAGCTGCTGCCAGTCAGCACTGCCTATCGCTGCCAGTATTTCTCCTGCAAGCTGCTCAGCAGAAATCTTTGCTAGGGTTGCAGTCACATTCTGAAGATACTGTGCCAATGGAGTTTCAAGTCTCTCCCTCCTGTTTCAAAAGCTGTCATTGCCCTCAGCTGCCACCCACTCGCCCACCCAGGAGATGAGCAGGAGCAAACACACCTCTCCTTGCTGCCACTGAGAGCACCAACTGTAACACACAGGCACAGGCACATTCTGGCACGCTAAATGTAGATCTCTTCTCAGCCTAGCTCAGAGGCAAGCTGAGCTCCTGCGCTTGGCAGGGAGTAGGAGGGAAGGGACCTGAGCAGGTCAGAATGGCTGCTGGAGGATCTGCAGTCCCTCTCAGCATTAGCACTGCCCTGTCCTGGGCCTGGGGCAGCTCCCACCCCTTGCAAGTGCTGCTGCAAACCTGAGGGGGATATGGGGAGTGACTGCAGCTCTTTGACCTGTGCCCTTGTAGCAGGACTTGGCCTCCAGCACTTCTGTGGAGCTCCCTGAAGAGGAAGCGCTGCAGAGCTCCCCAGTTCCCAGTGCCAAGGAGTGCAGAACAGGACGGAGGGAGAGACTGCAGGAGCCCAGTGGGAAGCCCCTGGCGGAGAGAGATGAGTTTCCTGCCGTGCAGGGGGGACAGGCCTGCCAAGAGACACCCACCACACCCCAGGTCCTGAGGGGCCTCCTTCGCTCTGGGGCGTCACTGACCTCGGGTGGCCTCCTGCACCTCAGGCCGTTGAAACCAGCACTGGGAAGAACACCCAGAGAGAAACCTCAGCAGCCTCGAGCCCAGCCCCCCCTC